GGGATAAGGAAGGAAAAAGAAAAACAGAGAAAGAGAATAAAAAGTCCAGTATTTAGCAAGTATAAATCTACAATAGGTATGCTTTAGTAAATTCAGTTCATAGCTACTGCTGGGCTGGGGACAGATCTCTTTACTACTGGGTGATGGGAAAGGATTAGGGCTAAGGTTCGAAGTCTCAGAGTATTGGAGAAAGAGCTCCATCCTCCCCCGCACACACACACATTCACACTTTCATTTGCAACACAAAAACTTTGACAGAGGCATTTGTGCTGAGTTGTAAGGAAATTCAAACCCACGCATAGCATGATTACAATGTTGTAAATCCCATTGAGATCAATGGCTTTTCCAAATGTATATGTTTGGGGTTGTCCGACCCGTTTGGTCACTGTGAAATCCATCAAGGGAGATGAAAACTATTCAAGGGGAGTAGGATATCTGCGTGCCATTCCTACCCATTCCTCCAGTTACCCTCCATAAGGAGGATGAAATAAAAAGAAAATGAATGGGGAACAGACACCACCATTGTTACCCCTTTCCTGCCACTGGCTTGTATCATTGACACTCATCTTGTTTGCCTTGAACAGAATCTGCTTTGAGTATAAGACAGTGGTGGCGAACCTATGGCACAGGTGCCAGAGGCGGCACTCAGAGCCCTGTCTGTGGGCATGCGCGCCGTCGCCCCAGTCCTAGGCCTTCAGCTGGCTTTTATAAAACCTTTTCGCTTTAGGCCTCCGCTGCCCTGTGCAAAAAAAAAAAAAAAGTTCAGTCAATCAGTCAATTTCAACTTCTTGCGGGGGGGAAAAAGATCTTGCAAAGTTGGAATTGATTGATTGAACTTTTTAGTCCCACCCGGTCTGCCGTTACCACCACAGCCACGCCCACCCAATGGGCCACACCCACCCAATGGGCCACACCCACCCGGCACCCGACGATGCATAAGTGGGTTTTGGGTTGCAGTTTGGGCACTCAGTCTCTAAAAGGTTCACCATCACTGGTATAAGACAATCCTCCCACTTCAGAGATAAGCAAAAGTCTTTTGGGTTAATTCCTACTCCTCATGTTACTCGACTTTCAACAGCTAAAGTGTTTAAAAAGAAAAAAAGAAAAAAAGAACTGTATAAAACACATGCTTAACCTATTTGGATGTCAAGCATTCTCTTTGTTCCTACACAGGTTTCTTGAGTCTCCTGAACCACAGTCACACCTTCACCTCCAACTTGATCCTGTCTATAGGGAATCTGTCCTACCTACCACCTTGTAAATCCCTTCTTCCTTGTTTTAAAACTCCCTTTTAAAACTTCTGCAAGGACAAAGTCTTTCAGAAGAATATGCAATTCTCAGGTAAGACCATGTTCTTACCACCACCACCACCACCACCTCCCAAAACATAAGAATAGTATTCATTAGCGAAACATCTCTTTAAATGAAGTCCTTCCTAGACCTCATTTTAACTCTGCAGGTATTTCCTCCATGTTCTTGCTGTGTCATGCTCTTGTATTTCTCAATGGAGTTGAAGAGGCAGATCTGTTGTCTCTGAATGCTACAATGGATTGTAAGCCTACGAAGGGAGTGTAAGAACTCAGCTCTTTCCCTTCCCGCGGTGTTCTTTCTCCCTAGGGTTCCTCCCTCCCCTCCACCCCACCCTCAATTGAGACTATAGGATTAGAAATAACCCGTCTCGGGAGGAAAGAGCCCCCCTCCCCCACTCAGCAATTTAGGAGATTAAAAAAAAAAACATGTAAAAAAGTGTTCTGCACTTTATCTACTCTACATGCTATATCAGCATTTGGCAAGGCACTGTTTCTCATGCTGATGTAACATTCGACGGTTCAATGCCAGGGGACATTTTTCTGATTTTCCTACCAGCTCTCATTCAATTGTTATGAGAGGAATTTGTTTTTGAAAGCCTTCCTAAGGGAAAAAAAAAATTGGAAAACTTCTCATGAAGCAAACAATGTGCTCTTCTGCTTATATTACTACAAAGTGACCAGGGGAGGGGGAGGGGGTTGTCTATGTTGATATCCAGCCTTTCACAGTACCATCATCATGTTGGGCTCCGTAGTCTCTCTGGTGCCTTGGCTCCTATTAAATCCTCATAAATGACATCATGACTATAGTTCTTGAGAGAATGCTACTGTCACCCTCACTTCACAAACTGCAGGACAATTTTTCATTCCCCTGGAGAAATTCTGAACATTCATTTGTCTCTGCCCATAAATTTGGAAAGGAATTTGAAAGATCCCTCGGTGCCCAGCTTTGATCTGATTTGTCCTCTCGGGCCATTTGGGGAAGAGCCAGATTTGTTCCTAATCTCTGAAATGAGAAATGGCTTTAATTGGGAAAAGTTATCTGTTATATTTATATTTAATCTAAATTATGAGAAAGCCATGTCTGCTGAGAGGAAAGACAAAAAAAAAAAAAAGATTTCACTGGATCTCAAACTTTTTTTTTTCCTGTTGAGCTTTCTGTTGCTTTATTCAGGCCAGGTCTGTCATTTGAGAAAAAGCACTTTCTGGTATGAAATCAGTGCCTCGTCCCTGTTGACAATAATAGATCTCTCTTATATTCTAGTATCGCCCATCAGTATGAGACCAGAGGTAAGCAAGGTGAACAATAAATAAGCTGATCAGTTTGAAACCATTTTGTAAGAAAAAAAAGTTGCAAAACAAATATTCCCAGTCTCTGTTCAGTTATAGGTCCTCAATGTTTGAGTTCTACATTGAGAAAAATAACATTTTATCTGCAACGAGGTAAAAAGAAAGAAGACACCAGCAAGAAACAGGTTATCACAATGCAGTTTATTTGCAATTTGAAGTTGGAGAGAATAATAGACAGAGCAAAAAAAAAAGCTATAGCTCAGTGATGGCAAACCTTTTAGAGACCGAGTGCCCAAAAATCACCCCCCGACCCCCGTCCCTGTTCCGCCCTGCCCACTGGGCCACCCACCACCTCCAAGGCCCACCACAGATCACCCAGGCAGCCCAACAGCGCCATGGCAGACACACTCTCCACCCATGCCCCGCAGCAGCATCTGCGCATGACGGGGCACAAGGGCAGAGTCTTGTCCCCGCTGCCCGGCTACCATGTCCTTGGTTGCGCTGCTTCGCGTGGGCTGCGCCCAGGGGCGACTCTCCTCTGGAAGGGCTGCTGGTGAGGAGGGGGCCGTGGGAGGAAGCAGGGCTGGGGAGACAGTGTGTGTGCCCACAGAGAGGGCTCCGAGTGCTGCCTCTGGCACCCGTGCCATAGGTTCGCCACCACTGCTATAGCTATTTTATTTACAACACGCATTTGAAGACACTTACAAAATAAGCCATACAAAATGATGCATTTTTAAAATGTTCTTCATCAATTGGAAAATTTATTTAACAGGTTAAAAAAAAATCATCATCTTGCAGGGGGTTAACCGAAAGAATACTAACATTATTTTTCAGCAGTTGATGAAGCCAAATTCTATGCTGCTTCTAGGCAGGGAATATCAAAAGGCATCTTTTAAAAAGATGGCTAACCTAAGCACTTTTCTTCTAATTCCCTATTAAACAATGTGTTGTTTTGACTGTGTGTATTCTTCAGGGTGTCGGAAGTGGCCTGCCTATTATTACAACTGAATTAAACACAGGAATTCTTTGTTTTCTGTTGGCAATTATATTGTTTCAATCAGCCCATCCATTAAATTGCCTTTTCCATTCTCAGATGTCATCTTAGAAGAAGGATGTCATAGTTTCAAATGCTCTGGAAGATTAAAAATATACCAAGCAACAGAAACAGAAACAGAGCAATGGGCTACAGTGGAAAAAGGTACAGGTCCTAATGATACAGTCCAGTTTGGGTTACGCTTTCCTCCTGCTTTCAATGGGATTTAAGAGGATGTAATTATATTGCATTCATGTGCTAGTTCAGTTGTTTTGAACAAAAAGAGCAGCATAAGACATCACAGAAACATGAAAATGGAAGTGAAACTTATAAAATGAATGCCAATGCTGGAAGCAATTCAGTGTTGTTATTGTTGTTTTTAGTGCTTAAAAACAAATGAAACAAAAGATAAGCATTTTCCCCACCCTGTTGATTTCAAATATGGAAAGCGAATTGAGTACTTAATCTCCCATTCAAATCAGCAAAGTGTTTAAAAAAAATGTCTTACGCGGCCAGATTCTAGTCCTAAAGTTTTTGCTCTATAACAATAGTATTTGAGGTGGGGAAGGGGGCTCCTTTTAGGAATAATGTTCAGAAGCTTTGCGCTTGGCTTTTTAGTTTGTTTGCTTTTGACCAAAGCCAGCCTTCCTTTTCAGATTTAAAACTTGATTGCCAATTCCTATCGCAAAAGGGCATCATCATTCTTTAGTTCAGGGGTAGTCAACCTTGGCTCTTTTATGACTCGTGGACTTCAACTCCCAGAATTCCTGAGCCAGCTATGCTGGCTCAGGAATTCTGGGAGTTGAAGTCCACGAGTAATAATAATAATAATGATAAAGTTGGAAGGGACCTTGGAGGTCATCTAGTCCAACCCCCTGCTCAGGCAGGAAACCCTATACCATTTTGGACAAATGGCTGTCCAGTTTCTTCTTAAAAACGTCCAGTGTTGGTGCATTCACCGCTTCTGGAGTCATAAAAGAGCCAAGGTTGACTACCTCTGCTTAGTTCTTTGAAAGAGAGTAGGGGAGGAAATTATCAATTGCGTCCAATGTGGGGGTGCTGTAGGAAATTTCTTTACTTTAGGCAGAATTATAATAACAGAGAGAGAGAAATCAGAGGTGCCTCAACAGCCACAAGTCATGTTGATTGGGAAAGAGACTTGTAACTCTAAAACTGCCTGGCAAAGGGGTGACACCAACCATTTTCCCGTAAACACCTGCTCAGATGTGTTCATTCAGGAGACAAGGAGCAATGTCTGTTTATATTAAACTTCTCAGAAAATAAATAAGGATGACCTAGCTTGGAGGGACTTGTGCTGATGCTGGCAATTGGGAGCTGTTTCAGAATCAATTGGCAACGTGTTATTTTTTTTATCTGACCGCTTTTCGGCTGGATGATGAGGTTGTGGTTGAGACATATTTCATGCTGGAAGAACCTCTTCCACCTCCTCCACCTATTCCCCCACCATAGCTTCCAGTGCTGTAACTGCTCCCTCCAGTAGTGATCCCACTGCTTATACCAAAGCCGCCAGCACCAACCCCTCCCATTGTCAGGCCCAGGCTGCCTCCAGCACCACTGCCTCCCCCTCCTCCACCAGCCCCCAGACCAAATCCACCACTGCTCACTTGACTACCTCCACTCATGGTAGATGAGCTGTTCATCACCGCTGCAAGAAAAAAACACAGGTGCATTACTGGATTATGTTCAATGATTGGCTATAGCCAATCAGAAGGAATGGACGACAATCATGCTCAGCCCTTGGGGACTACAAGGGCATATCTAAGTCATTCTCATATTCCAGGATGCTGATTTCCCCATTGTGGTCCCCCTGTCCTGAAATTATCAAATGAACTCCCATCCAAATTCTAACTAGATACGACCCTGCTTAGCCTTTTAAGGTTACAGGTGCTATCACCCATGGAAAGCAACATGAGTAGCATTACTGCCAAATTGCTCACTCAAATTTCCCATCTAGTGTGGGGCACCCGTCAAAATTAAATCAAGCAATATTTCTTGTAGTGCTCATAGAGGATGGCCTTGGAGAAGAAATAGAAGATCTACTACCAAGGCAACAATAAGCAAGGTTTTAGCCCAGACAAAGGAAAGGGGCTTATGTAAATACCTCAGCCCCACTCCCAACTTTAATTCACCTGAAGATAAAATAGGGAGAAAGGGAAGCACATTCGGACTTGTAATATTCTGCTACTATAGCTGTTCTAATGAAAGCAGAAACAGACAGCAAGAGTGTCAGTTTCTTCATCTGGTCTTGTCAGCCTTGCAGAGTATATCAGATAGGAATCAACAACCAGATGACCTAATTCTACTTTACTGTAAAGCTTCATTGACAGAATCTTGCAAGTCTGAAAGTACAATTCTTCTGCCGTCTGCTTTACAACCAGAGAAACTTGGAAAGATCTCTCCTGAGCCTCTTGCCATGCACACTACCCAGCTGCTGCTATGCTGTCTCTTGTCTGACCATCCCCTTGACAGTATCTCTTTGCCCAGTCTCCCAAGGTCTTTCTCACATACCCTTGGAGGTCTACCTTATAAGGCTAACATCTCCATTCCTTCTTCTATTTAACAAATTTCAGCTTGGATTGACCACAACTAGGTACAACTAGGATACCTGAAGCTATCTTTTCTTAAAGCCTCCTGTCTCATTTTTATCTAAATTATTATTTTCATCAATAGTATGAAATAGGATAGACAACCCTCCCCACACCCGGTGTAACATTTCTTACTTGACCCTCTTATCCTAATGACAGGGAGTGTTTTTCTTTCGAGATTTCTAAATTATTCAATATTACAATTAAAAATAAAGTCTGTGCAAACAAGTGCATTATCACTGGCCTTCATAGTTAATTCACTTAAGTGAAATACTTACACATGCTCACAGGCGCAGTGAGTTCTCCAGACATCCTATAGGCAAGAAAGAGAAAACAGTGTATGTATAAGTTACCTTTGTCCATTATAGCTCATAGCCTATAAGGCCCTGTCCTTGCAAATAAAGATCTAGAGAGAAAGTGTCAAGTAAAAACCAGGAAACAGCCAATTCCTTTAAATTCTCTGTCAGATGGATGACAAAAAAAATGAAAATAAATGTCCCCCTTCCGTATCTTATATTTGTAAAAGATGGGAATTCAGGTAGGGGGACATTGATGTATTTGGGTGGGAGATGTAAGTTGCACCTCCAAAATTGCTCTCCTTACAACTGATCACCGTGGACCACATTTTCTTGGTCTGGTTCTCTGCAGAGACCACAAGTCCCCTGATCATGCTGGTTGATCATTGAAGTCAAAAACTTCAGGAAGTTCCCTAGGCTGAAGAAGATGGCTTTAGACACATGGTTTGTCAAACAGAAAAAAAGTATAACCAAGGAATGGCCCTCATTAAGGAAGGGAGAGAACCCTGAAGTATAAGGAAATACCTGTGGAAGTTAAGCTGAGGAGTTCGGTCTGCTGCATTTATTCTTTCCTGCTTTTGGAGTACATCCCAAAACTGCCTTAAACAGCTTGCTACTCCTGGAAACTCCAGCACTTGATATACAGGTAGTCCTTGATTTACAACCGTTCATTTAGTGACCATTCAAAGAACGGAATTGAAAAAAAGTGACTTACGATCATTTTTCACACTTATGACTGTTGCAGCATCCCTCAGGTCACGGGATCAAAATTCGGATGCTTGGCAACTGGTTCATATTTATGATGGCTGCAATGTTCTGGGATCATGTGATCCCCTTTTGCGACTTTCGGACCAGCAACGTCAATGCGGAAGCCAGATTCACTTAACAACCGGGTTACTAATTTAACAACTGCGGTGATTCATTTAACAACCGGGGCAAAAAAAGATCGTAAAATGGGGCTAAACTCACTTAACAACTGTCTCACTTAGCAACAGAAATGTTTGGCCCAATTGGGATCGTTAGTCAAGGACGACCTGTATTTCCTTCACCTACTGACTCCTGCTAGCTTTTTAGCTATTTTTCAACCAGACTCTCCCAATTTTGCTGGTCTTTGCCCATAATAAAGATTTAATTTGATTGACCACCGTCTCATCCTTCGTTATTCAACAGACTGGGTTTACACACATAACTAAGCCATTTAAAGTTTGACTTGGACTACTGAAAAGAAGAACCCACATCACACCAGTTCAAACTACCAAAAACCACCAGTGGACAAAGCTGTAGAGTTGTACTTTACTTACGAAAAGCATAAAACAGAGATTTTGCATATGCCACTACAGATAGATGAGTTCTAAAGAATGCACAGAACTCTAGTTGCTCTAGAGAGAAATCCCTTAAGAAGTTACTGCAAAAAAAAAAAAAAGTCACTGGCTTCAAACTGAATGGAAAAAAGAAAAGAAAAATAGATTGGCCTTGATAGGCTGGGACTCTTTGGTATAACTGGCTCATATCCCTGCCAGCCAAAGGAAGCTTACAGTTTCTCTGCCTTTCCTTTCTTATTGGACTAAGATACAAGGGTGGATACAAGAACTAACAAAATGTCAAATAGAATTAAACCCGGAAACATTTCTCCTGGGAACACTTAAAAAGAAATTTGATAGGAAAATAAGATATCCGATTTTACATATATTAACTGCGGCAAGAATTGCGTTCGCGCAATACTGGAAGGAACGCAATATACCACCAGAGGGATTGATCATTCAGAAAATATATGAATGTGCCAAAATGGACAAACTCACTCTAGAATTAAAAGAAAAAGATGATTCGGAATTTTACGCGGTTTGGGAAAAATGGTATACTTGGATAGACAATAGAAACAAAAAATTGGAAATATACATAAGGCTATTGTGGGTTAAATATTGAATGTATATAATGTATATATTGTATAGAATGTTGATCCGAAGTATATAAAAATGATGCCGTCTGCTGAATATGTACTAGAGCTGTATAAAGGAAAATGATAATAAAAATTATTATAAAAAAAAGAAAAGAAAAGGCAGCAATTTTATTAAACAAATTAAAACAAAATCCTTAGGGAAACTTGTGAGGATTAAGCAAGCTACATCCCCTTATAAAGGACTGTGCAAGAGGCAGGGCAGCTGCAGAACAGTAATGCACCATCTGAAGATCACCCCTGAGCTTGGAGGGGGGGGGTGTCACGTGTAGGGAGGAGGCCAAAACAGGCTGCACAGTAATCTCTTCTTGCAGTGGTTCACCCCTCCCTCAGGGGATCCTGCCCTCCATGTCTGAGGAGAACAAATTCCTGGGAAGGGGGGGGAGAGGAGGCTGCCCCTCTCATGCTAGCAGAATTTAGGTTTCAGCCCTGAGGAAGCCACCTGCAGCACAATGGCCGTGCCCACTCTGTGGGCTCAACCAGGAACCCACAAGAAAGCATTCTGTAGCAACTGGTGACAGTTGGTGCAACCTCTCTACCAGCTTCCCTCATCTCATAAAATGCAAAACCTGCCTTCTGTACCCAGTTAGCATTTTGCTCTCAGGAACAGCTGCCTCAATGGAACTGTCTTAAGAGCGCCCTCCTGAGGCCAGAGTGCTCATCTCCCTTGTACAAAAACATAGTGAGGGAAGACAATCCTGACCCTTCTCGCCCTTCAGGCTTCTCTAGATGGCAAGAGGAGTCCACACGGCATCTGCTGTTCTTCAGGGTCAGAAGTTAACCAGAGTTAAATACATGAACAAATGTTGCTAAAAATGTTGGTGTGCCTCTGGGGTATATACAGATAATCCCTTTTTTACACTCGTGTAACTAGAAGAAGGGGACGACAGAGAATGAGGTGGCTGGATGGAGTCACTGAAGCAGTAGGCGTGAGCTTAAATGGACTCCAGAAGATGGTAGAGGACAGGAAGGCCTGGAGGAACGTTGTCCATGGGGTGCGCGATGGGTCGGACACGACTTCGCAATTAACAACAGCAATAAACTACTGGCAATTATTTCACCCCAAGAACAAAATACATTTAGTTCAAGGGTTACTACAGCATAAGCTTTTTCCAATGTACTGAAGCGGACAGTGGCCTGGAGGAGGGCTCAGAAACAAACAAAGCATCAACACCCAAAAGCTAGAGACATTATGTGTTCTTTGGACAGATGCATTTCATAGTAATTCTTTTTTTTTTTTCTGGTCTGTAACTCAGCAATTTTAGATCCCGAACTATTTTAGCTAGGGCAGGTAAGTAACACTAAACCATTGTGTTTATTATTTAAAAGCACTCCTTGCTCCTTCCTCTATCAGATGGCCATGCTCTCTGCTCCATTATTTCAGCTATGAGGGGCAGCTATGGGGTCGAACACAATGAGCCCTGATCTCAATTCTTGTGGGCCCCAGAGTTGATTTATGGTTTTCAGAACTAACTGCGGCTGTATCTTAGGAATATAGAAAGGTACAGTATGGTTTGGCATCAATGCTGGCCACCAATACCCCACTTCAGTAGCTGACAGATAGAGTGGGAGTGGCCTTATAATTAATGCCTACCCTGGGGTTTCTTTTTCAACAAAATTCAAGGTACTGCTGCAACTGACACCAAGTACCAAAATCCATCCGATCACTGAAATTCCCAGAATGCCATGGGACCACCCTATCTCAGAGGGATGAGGAAAACAAACAACTCACCCTTTCTGCCCTGGCATTGGTGGGAGCATTTTGGCACAAAGACAATTAAGCTCCCAAAGCATGTCAAGAAAAGAAGTGGCCACAAGAGGTCACTTTGCCCAGTTGCCTTCCAGCAAGTCCTTCTGCCATTCCTTCATATCATGCTTCAAAGCATTTTTAAGTAGTGGAGGACAAAATGAAAACTTGGAGCTCTTCATATTTAAAAATAGGTTTTCCTCATAAGGTTAATAGAAGCTAATGTCCTTTCAGAGAAGTCAAAGAGTTTAAATTCTATCTTGTCCCCATTGTCCTGCCTCATGGGCCCAACAGGGAAAGAATACGGAATATGTCAGGAGGGATCTTGGAGGTCTTCTAGTCCAACCCACCCTGCTCAAACAGGAGATCCAAAACCATTCCAGACAAATGGCTGTCCAATCTTAAAAATGTCCAGTGTTAAAGCACTCACAACTTCCGAAGGCATGCCATTCCGCTGATTAATTTTTCTCACTGTCAGGAAAGTTCTCCTTAGTTCTAGGTTGCTTTTCTCCTTGATTAGTTTCCATCAGTTCCGTTCTTGTCTTGCCCTCAGATGCTTTGGAAAATAGGTTGTCACCATTTTCTTTGTGACAACTTTTCATATATTGAAAGACTGCTATCATGACACCCCAGTCCTTCTCTTCGTTAGACTAGACATAACCCGTTCCTGTAACCATTTATCATATGTTTTAGCCTCCAGACCCTTAATCATGTTTGTTGCTCTTCTCTGCACTCCTTCTAGAGTCTTAGCATCTTTTTTTGTATTGTGGTGATGCTGCTATCTTTCTTTTGAAAGAATGAGAGATCTTTCTTGGTCTAAACATGATGGGCTTCAAGGCTTACCCAGATATCTTGGGCACATCTTGCAAACTCTTGGTGCAGCACACATTATGTAGATGCCCTTTATCATTTCTAGCTATCTTCTACTTCCCCTTTCAGTAAAAGCCCATTGATTTGAATGGCCTTAGGAAAGAGATTGGTAAAGCCAAAGATGATCTTCTAAAGAAGTACAGAGTAGCTGTCATCTCCTCCACCACCACCACAACCACTGGGTTGAAGACAACACAACTTTTGGCTTGGCAGTTTAGGACAGCTTTTCCCAATCTGATATAGACCAATCCCTATTAGCCCTAGGAAATTAAAATATGTACAACCCATCTGAAGGACATCAGATGGTAGGAGACTAAGTTACGGTATGAACCAAGGAAGCTAACGTGGAAGAAAATCCATCAAACATAAGGGGAGTTACTTTAGGGGTAAATGTACGCACATTTGGATTGCAAATTGATGAAATCTTAAAATGTAAAGATATTACAGAGAGAACCAGATTTAATTTCTGGCATACATTATATGTAGAATACAAGCTAAGGCAGTGATGGTGAACCTTTTAGAGACTGAGTGCCCAAACTGCAACCCAAAACCCACTTATGCATCGTCGAGTACTGGGTGGGTGTGGCCCATTGGCTGGGTGTGGCCATTGGGTGGGCGTGGCTGCAGTGGTAATGACAGACTGGGTTCAATCAATCAATCAATTCCAACTTTGCAAGATTTTTTTTTCCCGCGAGAAGTTGAAATTGACTGATTGAACTTTTTTTTTTTTTGCACACGGCGGCGGAGGCCTAAAGTGAAAAGGTTTTATAAAACCCAGCTGAAGGCCTAGGACTGGGGCGGTGGCGGGCATGCCCACAGAGAGGGCTCTGAGTGCCGCCTTTGGCACCCGTGCCATAGGTTCGCCACCACTGAGCTAAGGCATATTTACTTTGTTTATAAAACATACTTGAGGAAAGATTGCTTCTATATCTGTGCAGTATTTTCTCTTCTGAATTTTCACCACTAATTAAAATATCAGGGGTGAAGGATAACTTTATGTGTCTCTCTCCAAGTCAGCAACCAGTTTTTACTATGACTAATGACTAAGCAGTATTATGGTAGACATAACAACTGCAATTGATTCCAGATTGTATAGAAAACATAATTTTAGTTATTTACTTGCAATTATACATGCATATATTATTTATTTACATTCTTAAAAGCCAACCCATGCTAATGCAAATTATGGATGTGTGGAAATGTCTTATGCTATACTGATGATATTGAACAGCATTTAGTGCTTCCTAAATATGCACATTGAACACTGGCTGCCTAAATTATTATCTTACACAATTAACAGATGGCAAAATAACATATACTCTCCATGGATATTCTCTGCAAAAGAAGTTAGATTTGGGGATAAAGCTAGACATCATGTTTAGGGAGACAACATATTTAGGGAGAGAAAAAGAAAGGTCATTGTGGGCTACAAAATATCTGGTTTCGCTTTTCATTGACAGGATTCTTGTTCTTTCTAATGAAATTGGAATATAGTGTCTATATATAATGTCCTCTCTATATAATGTCCTCTCCGTGGAGCCCTTTGAAACTATGCACTGAATTGTGCTAGGCAAAAGGAAACTGAAAGAGAGAGAAAGAGGAAGGAAAAAAAACTGCTCAAAACTGAATAAACTAAGGATAAGACCCAGGGACAGGATGGTTGAAGAAAAAAGCATTCTAAAAAGGATGAAATAAATGCAATTTTCTCTAATCTGGCATCCTCCAAATATTAAGGTGACCAACCGTCCTCCTTTAGGGAGGACAGTCCTCCTTTTGTAAGGTCTGTCTTCCCTCAAAAAGTGTCCTCCTACATGTCCTCCTTTTTGATATTTGAAGACTAATCTGCAGGGCTTTTTTTTTCTCATAGAACGCTCAGAACGGCGTTCCGACATCTTTTTTTGATGGTTTTTTTTTTCAACTTTTGCATGAGCTGTGCTACTCCCCCGATTGGCTTTCGAAAGCCAATAGGAATTGCTGCTGAGACCGCCAAAACACCCGGCCAGCAAACTTTGCACATGCAAGTTGTCTGCAGCGAAGGCGAATTGGCAGGAACTTTGCACCCCTCCCTGCTACCCAACTACACCATCTCCTAGTTAGTTCTGAAGATACCTGGAGGAGACTGGAGCGGTAAGTTTCTCTTGATCTTCGGCTCTGCTAGGGCAATAATGGCTGTGGGCGCAAGAGGCAGGGGCGATGGGGGTGCTGCGGGCAGGGGTATGAGGGGCGGCAGTGGCTGGCTGCCCCCCGGGCTGTGGGAGCCACGGGGGCCCTCTCTACATGGGGCTGCGCAGGGTGGGCAGTGGTGCTGGCGGGGCGGCTGCAGGCAGGGTGTGTCGACAGCGGGCTGCCCCCCGGGGCCAGAGCCGGCACGGCTGGTGCTTTGGGAGCCGCGAGGCCTGCTCTACACGGCAGGGCAGCGGTGCTGGCGGGGCTGCGGTGGGTGGGGGCGCGGCGGGCGGTTGACCTTCCATGGGCCGGGCCAGCTTTTACGATATTTTTTTCTTCAATTTATTTGTGTCCTCCTTTTCATTGTAAAAAAGTTGGTCACCTTACAAATATACTATTTGTCTCTGACTGGAAATTCTGGGAATTTGCTAAGAAAACAATCAGTTGAGAAAGCCTGCAGAGTTCTGAAAACAGAATCAATAGAAAAACATACAGGCTCCAAACTTAGGACAAGATCTTTGTTACAGGCCGGAAAAAAATAACGGACAAACAAAAAAAAATAATAATGGTGAAGACAGTGGATGCACAGGCTATATTTCATATACAGTTATAGAAAAAGCAGAACAGCTATGATGAAAGGGTATCTGCATGTATATTCCTATCTTTAAGATTGGGCAAAATCGACACATAAGAAATATGCAAATAGGTATGTTTTACTCAGAGATGTAGTACCCACCTGCATTCTTCGCCTTCTAGCAGCGTGCGATATGTGGCAATCTCAATATCCAGAGCCAGTTTAACATTCATCAGCTCCTGATAATCCCGCAGGAGACGTGCCAGTTCATCCTTTGAATTTTGTATTGCTTGTTGCAGGTCATTCAGTTTTACCTGGGCATCTTTCAGGGCCAACTGCCCACGCTCTTCAGCATCGGCAATTGCTTTTTGGATCCTGGAAATCTGGATACATTCGTATATTAATTAGGTTCTAATTTCATGATAGGTGTATGTCATAGCATGTGTGACTTTATGAAGTATTAAATATAGATGTCTTAAGAATCTGTTGGGTAAGAGTCAGCACTTTGCTACATTTCTGCTATAGCAGCAGACAGCTAGGTGTTTACAAGGGGTTGTAAACAGGATCACTTGATTGTACACCAGCTTTTATTTGGACCCCAGATCCCCCCAAAAATCAGATGGTAGCATTTCATTGCCCCAATGACTCTTCAAATCCTTACCTCAACAAGGATATTGCTTAAAACAAATCTGTTATTTAATTGATTGGGTGAACAAATTCAACAGGAATCACACATATTTCAATAGACAAGTTCAAAATCTGGTTGAAAAGCCACTGGACAAATTCAATTTCAGCAAAATGAATTTCAGCAAAAGCAATATGTAACTCAAGGGATCCCTCCGTGAGCTGTAATACTCTCTCTCCTTCACTATCTCTTTCCATCAACAAGTTTATTCTTCAGCAAACCAGCTCAGAGTGAGTGCCACTTCTGTTCCCTGGCAATCTCCAACTATGAGACTTAACAGGGCAAGAATTATTTATATTAATAACATGAAAATGTGCTTAGATAATTAAAAACTTAACTCTGGTTTGATGTGCCAAATGCCAATAACGCCTTTCATGGTCCTGTTTTACTTGTGTACATCATCCTGGCCTAATGCTTGGTTCAAATTATTGACCAGTACATTTTTTTCTAAAAATCTTGAGGAAATGCATACAGTATCATAACAAAAACATATCTTGCATCTTGAATTTTTCATGCATTCAGAAAAAAACAGATGTAGGGGGTTTGATTGTGGGTGTTTTTTGAGCTTTTATCAGCCTATCCAACAAAAGGTAAACCTGAAAATTATCAAATATTGTATCTGCCTGCAAATGAGAGACCAAAGCTCTCTGAATCAAGGAATCATGCAGTCATTGCAAATCATATAATATATGGTGGTGCAGTGGTTGGAATGCAGTATTGCAGGCTAACTCTGCCAACTGTCAGCAGTTTGATTCTGACTGGCTTAAGGTTGATTCAGCCTTCCATCCTTCTGAGGTCGGTAAAATGAGGACTCAGATTTTTTGGGGGGCAATATGCTGACTCTGTAAATTGCTTAGAGAGTGCTGTAAAGCACTATGAAGTGGTATATAAGTGCTATTGCTATTCAACTTTTAGCAATGCTTTATTCAAACCATAGCCTTCTGGAGCTAGTGAGTCCATTCCTATGCATTTGTAGGAACCTATAAAATAGGATCTAATATTGGTATAATAGGGTCACAGAGTTTCAGTTTATTTAGGCTGCCATGTTTTGTATTAAAGAGCATTTTTGGGAACAAATTCATATACAGAAGTTTGCAACAATTTAAATATGAGGTTACTAGAATTTAGATTAATGAAGTTAATCTAATTTTATCCAAGCAGAACAGCAACTGGCACAGATTGTCAAAGATGGCAATGCATGACTGACAGATAGTCCTCAGAATCAAAGAACACCCCTGGTGGCACAGTGACTAGACTGCAGTATTACTCACTGCTCACTTCATGAGTTCAATTCTGAACTGCTCAGGGTTGACTCAGCCTTCCATCCTTCCGAGGTCGGTAAAATGAGGATCCAAATTGTTGGGGGCAATATGCTGACTCTGTAAACCACTTAGAGAGGGCTCTAAAGCACTGTGAAGTGGTATATAAGTCTAAGTGCTATTGCTACTGTTACATAACAGTTCTTGCAATATTTCAGCTCCAGTTCTACTATAGAGAAAGAAATAACAGCTTAGAATATTTCTCTGCACATTGTGTTTCAGTCTAGTAGGCCTGAGTTATAAACAGTTGGGACGGGGTAATAATCTCCTGAAATTGGTGGCAAAGATCATTTAATCAAGGAGCCATCCAACTTGAATGGATATGCTTGACCACTTTTCCTCAGAAATAAATCCTGTTGAGATTTGATGGGAGAGTGTTCCTGGCATACACGGCGAATTGCAAAATAAAGTACTCAAAATGTGAAAGCTGAGAGCAGATGGACCAGTAACAAAGATGAAAAAAGAGACCAGATAAACCCATGCAGACAAGAGTATTCAAATGCCCGCTTACCGTTTTTATCACATTCTCAGTTTCTGCTTTTAGTCTGTTGATAAGCCGATTCAGTTCCCTAATCTCATTCTTGATAGTTTTCAGGTCATCTCCATGACCAACAGCTATGATCTGAAGTTCCTGAAACTGTAACACCAAAGGAGAATCCTTATGACTGATGGGAAACAATACTAGCTTCAGGAATTAGACAAGAGGCCTTGGGTATAAGGTGAACCAGTGTGTCACCTTTTCCTGGAAAAGGCCGATAAAAGATTTGCCGAATTTGCCACCTCTGACCTCTAAACCTAATTGTGATTTCAAAACAAAAAGTGGAGTCCAAAATTTTGCTCCTTAGGAAGAGGCCAAAAAACCCTCTTTCCAATATTATATATTGAGTCAATGGCATCACAGTTTGTGTTTCAGCAAAGCTCAATAGGCACTAAAATTTTGTGATTAAAATGGTAGGTCCAGAACTTATTGTTGCATTATTTCTCATGAGAAATTGCAAAGCTCATGAGGTCCATCTAGCATGGCTTCTCAAATAATAATGCCTAGGATTTTTCTGTTCTTCCTAGCAATCCAAAAGATAATGCTTGTTACTACCCCATTATAAAGGAGCCTAGGATATGAGACAAAAGCTCTGCATCAGATTCAATTCACTTAAAGGATTTCTGAAAAAAGAAAAGCCTGTTGGAATTGTAAACCCAGGAAATCTCTCCATAGTCTGACTATCAGGCTTTCCTCTCACTTCAGGCTTTCCTACTGGTTAAGAAGAGCATTGATTCCAGATTAAGAGGATAAGCTTATCTTAATTCCACAAGCTTCTCTGGAAAAGTTATATAGAGTCTTACCTTGTTTTGATACCATGCTTCTGTCTCTGCCCGGCTCCTGTTGGCAATGTCTTCATACTGTGCTTTCACTTCAGCAATGATACTGTTGAGGTCCAGATCTCGGTTGTTGTCCATTTGCAAGACAACATTGGTGTCACTAATTTGTCCTTGGATTTGAATCAATTCCTTTGTGGGAAAACAAGGTGCTATTATTCATCCATCCATCCATCCAGATATTTCCCATTGTTACTCACTAGTTCAAGTTCATTTTTTGCCTACCAGCTGAATCCTACAAAAATATTCTGTGGAAGCCAACTCAAAATAAAGGTTGTGCCTCATTTTGGCAAAACAGGAAGTTTCCACTAGCCTGTCTGGTTAGTATTGTCATCACTGACTACAGCATATTCCTGAGACTCTAGATGGAGGTATTTCTAGTCCTATCTAGAAAAACAGTATTTCAGCCTAGTCGTTATGTGTGCATAGTACATACTATACTATACTATACTATACTATACTATACTATACTATACTATACTATACTATACTATACTATACTATACTATACTATACTATACTATACTATACTATACTATACTATACTATACTATACTATACTATACTATAAAGATGAAACCATACCCTGTTAAAGAACATGGTCCAGTATCTGGAGTCAGTGAAAACCACTTTATGAGAGCCAATTGATGGAACCACAGTATACAGTTTTTGCCTTTTTGCTGCTACCTACTGGTCATTCAGGATTTTGCAGCCTAGATGAGGTAGGGTTAGATTTCCTTGGAAGATTTGCTAGATAAAATCTCACCAGAGACTTGGCAAAGCTCAGCATGATAAGACTGCTGCATTCAGGAAATTTTCTATAGATTCATATGAACTGTGCTTATCAGTGGAGGCCTCTATTCTGGGCAAGAAGAGTAGACTCTTGCATGGACAGTTACAGTGCAATATATTATAAAATTCCCTTTGATTAAAAAAGAAAACTAAAACAAATAAACAAACAAACCACCGGACCATAATACTGCTGCATAACAAAGAGAGCAAAGAGGACGGGTTGTTACTAATTTGTACTTCCTTAGCACTTATATGGGTCAGTAACATCATGGGTGCAAATCAAATGCAACATCCATCTCACATTCATATCTATTCACACAGATGTCTTTTCTGTAGCCTCCTTTGGAACCTGATAAGACCCTTCTAAAAACTGTAAATTAAATCTGGAGCATAGATTGCATTTTGGGCCATTTTAATGGGAAACCAAACAAACCAAACCTAACAAATGAATTCTCACCCCGGGCAACCAGTAATTTTAGTCTCCAGGTAAGAATGTGTTTAAGAAAACTGACTTTGGGCCATAACCCAGAAGTCCAGATTCTAGAAATTCCTGTAAGTTTTAGTTTTCTATTGAATATTCTATTGAATATAATTCTATTGAATTATCAGATCTTTTCATACCCCAGTTTAGCTCTAGTCTAGTTTTATTTTTTTCATTTAAAACAAAGCTTAAATTAAAGAAACTTGGGCAACCTTTTTTAGACATTTCCCAAGGTTTTACAACAGAAGAGAACATAGCTGACGGCATAATAATGTGGATTTTTTAACCTGAGGATGAGGACAGGGGCTATAAGAAAGTGTAGTAAAACCATTCAAACATACTGATGTGACTATATGACTCACATGTCTGGGAACACATTATTAAAAACATTCTGATTCAGAGTATCAATTAAAAAGTACACTTTTTTTACAGATAGTACTTTCCTCGTCATTGTTTATAATAATAGTAGGTCTCGTGTATATCAAATTGTTTATTGTTTCAAGAAGACATAATTGATTAATGGACCTGACTTCCTCTTTCTCCTTTGTAGTTCAATGATGCCTCTACATTGTGTGTCAATCAACACCTCTTTAAACCTATTTAAAAATTACTAATGAAATTATATGTAGCAGCACTGCAGTTAAATTCGCACATTACATCATGCCAGCATTAAAGAAACTACAGTACATCTTAGTGCAAAATGTTGACCCAGCCAATTGTGACTTAATCAACAAATCTGGGCTAGCAAAATCACACCTTAGCATGATCTGTGAATCCAATCAGGACACTCCAAAGTCCATATAGTGTATACTGGCCTCCCTCTCCCATACAAGAGCCCCAATGTTTTTGCTCTAAGTCCCCAGGAGATATTTGAAGTAGAATACGGTAGTTCATAGGATTCTCAGTAAATCACAGTTGCTCTACTTTCCTGCTCTATCATTCCAGTTCTTCCCCAAATGCAGTATGATTTCTGGCCCTGAAGGACTTTTCATTGCTTTGGATTCAATGACAAGAACATTCAACACTTACAGCCTCATGTAAGGCCTTCAGGAAGTTGATCTCATCTATCAGCCTATCAACCTTTGCTTGCAGGTCTACTTTTTGCATGAAGGAAACATCAACATCCTGCAAGAATTCAACACATACCAAAATTACATAAAAGCAGTCCAATAATTTCTTCATACCACGTTAGACATTTATTTAGCCCATAGAGTATACTCCAACTGGTAGCATTTCTTCAGAGGCTTCTCTTTGTTTTTAATTAACAAACTGGACATTAAACTTATGCCTTTTTACAACAAAGAAAAGTGTTGGGGAGCAGGAGTCCTCCAAATGTTTTACGCCACATAAAAGGGATGGAGAAATTGAGGTCCTTCAAAAGTGGCTGAATTACAACCTCCAGCAGCTTTGGCCAATACAACCAATGGTAAAAAAGGCTGGGAATTGTAGCTGAACATATATGGAAGACTACAGATTGTCCAATCCTATTCTACATGCTGCAAACTTCTGTACAATGTATATTTCTATTTAGAACTCTCCCTTTTAATTCAGTATCTTACTCTGAACATGCCTCTACAAGCTCACTGCCTAATAAATTAATACAAGTTTAATATCATATGTCAAAAAGAATAATCACTTCCTTACAGTGATGTAAAATGTAGAGCATTGTTTTAAGTTGTGGCTTTATCAGTAATCCGTTTACATTTAATAGTAAATGCAAACCTTCCAATGAAAACACCATGCAAAATATTTTGATAATTGTCATACAATCTTGATCCAGCTTCTTGCTTTAACACAGTAAAAAGAAAATGGATTTGCAGGTATTAATGTGCTCTGATGACGATCAACCAAAGTGAAGAATGAGAAATTATAGGAGTTGTGTCTAGCAATGGCTGAAATGCTGTAAATTTCTCAGCCTAATTAAGAAATTTAATTAGACTGAGAATTATGATACAAAAGTACTTTTTCTCTGAGTGTAAAAATCTCCTGCATATTAATTTTTTTTCTTAACTTAATTTTTTTGTTTTAGGATAGTCACCTTTTTGATACCAACAAAGTCATTTTCAGCGGTGGTGCGTTTGTTAATTTCTTCTTCATATCTGTGAAGAGAAGGAACATAGATTTTCAGTCTTCTTCAAAGAAAATATCAGGCAGAGAAAATGTCATATAAAAAGGTGCCAATCAATAGCCTTCAATGGCCTTGACAAGGCTGCCATAAAAGCTGCTCTTCTAGGGGGAGGAATTGTCTATATCAGTTCTAAATTAATTTGTGGCACAGCAGCCATGTAAAAAGAAAAAAGAAGATTCTTACCCATTTTATAATACTGAGTCAAACCATCTGCAAGGAATATCAAGCACGCATTATAAATATCACTCCTGATTGTCATTCAGAGGACATTTCACTGTAGTCACCAGCATTTATTTTACATCCCATGCTTGAGGTTTCAATAGTTCATCTTCTTTAAAATAGTGTCTGACTTAAGTTACCACTCTATTAAGTTGGCTATTGGAGCTTGGCCAGCATTTCTCCATGTGAAGGATTGTCATCTTTCATCACTGCTGGCAACAGCAGGTCATTACAAGTTTTGGATGTCAATGTTTAAATAAGCAGCTATTTATTACTTAGAATTTATACCACTTTAATCTTGTTCAGAAAGAATCTATCTCCAGTGGCTGCTTAAGGATGAGCAGGCAGAGATCACGGCGCAGGTGGCCAGATTCTGTGCTGCAACATTGGGGATTCGCCAGAATCATAATCATTTTAGACAGTGCTTTTTTTCAAAAAAAAAAAAAAAAAAAAGGTGCCGGAACTCACACACGTCATACAACCTGCCTTGCCTACCCTACAAGGTTCCATCCAAAAAAGGTGCCAGAACTCCGTTCTGTGCGTTCTATGAGAAAAAAAGCCCTGATTTTAGATCCTTTTAATAATCTTTTAAAATTGATTTTATTATGTGTTTTATCCAATTTTAGACTATACTTATTGTATTTTTAGTGTCAGGTCAGTATGTTTCAGTTTCTGAAGATAGCTTGTTTTTGATATACTGCCTGTAAAACTAGGCAGACCTTGGTCGCCCATTGATTGCACCATTGATTGTGATATATTGCTATGTCCTCTTGTGATGGCTCTGTCTAGTTTTGTTTTATTAGGATGTTTGATTTATGTGTGGCCTTTGGCTGTAATAAATTGAATTGAATTGAAAAAATTGAATTGAATACCACTTTAATCACTGTTGACTCTAAGCAGTTTGACTAAGGATATGCATTATAAAAACCCTAAAAACTATATTGAAACAGTTATAGTGGAGAAATTAACACAATATAATTCAGTCAGCACCCATCAATATTAATTCATCGCATTGCAGTCTCTGAGTGGTCTCCAAGGCTTTGCACGATAACTGAGGTTTCACAGGCTGTTGGAATACCATAAAGGAAGGAGTTATTCTTGTTTCATATTACAAACGTAACACATTATGGCTATGCAGCACTCCCAAGTCAAAGGTCTCAGTAATCTGCTGTAACTCTCCAGTCAATTACATTTTTCCCCAGCTTGCACAACATGAGCTCTATAATGCTACTGTATAGTTATAAAAATTACATTTGCATAAAAATACAGTAATTCATTTTTTTTCATTTTCCTATTTAGTTTTGTCTTTTTCTTTATCTTCATGTTAGCTTGTTAGTAAGTTTTTACATTTTTAATCGTAGTTGTAAAAAAGCAGTCAATTTTATTTTTAAGAACAGTCAAGCTATTCTCCAAAGCGCCTGAAGGCAGGACAAGAAGCAACGGATGGAAACTAATCAAGGAGAGAAGCAACCTAGAACTAAGGAGAAACTTCCTGACAGTTAGAACAATTAACCAGTGGAACAACCTGCCTCCAGAAGCGGTGAATGCTCCAACACTGGAAGTTTTTAAGAAGAGACTGGACAGCCATTTGTCCGAAATGGTGTAGGGTTTCCTGCCTGAGCAGGGGGTTGGATTCGATGACCTCCAAGGTCCCTTCCAACTTTTTTATTATTATTATTATTATTATTATTATTATTATTATTATTATTATTATTATTATTATTATTATTATTATTATTATTATTATTATTATATAGAATAAGCACATATAGCATGAATATATCCCTTCTACTGTATCATTTACTGTTTGCTTGTGTGTGTGTGTGTGTGTGTGTGTGTGTGGTTTTACCAGTTTTCAGATAGTACCAATACCCTTAGTTTAATCTGAAACAACATCTGAAAGCTATTAATTTAAATAATAATCTTCCAAAATAAAATTAAAGGAGGAGGCAAGTAGCTTTGTCAACGTCATCACAAGTCTTGGTAGGTATTAGAAAACTTGGTGGCACTACACAAAATTGTTGTTTTTGTTATAAACATTCTTATTCTCATTGGTTATTCCATTTATGTTGTCATATCTGATGACTATTCCATGTCATCATATCAGTTCCTTTTCATTTTATTGTAACTGTCTCCTCAGCGTATTTGATTTAATTGCTATCAGAAGTTTTTTCTGATCCCTATTTTATGAGTGAAAAGGCCATTTTAATGAACCTGTAATTGCTTGCTTTAATGTCCTCATTTCTTTGATAAATTAAAAAATGTCTCCACCCCAAACTTTGGGATGAACACCCTTTGAATGGTGTGGAAGTATGAACGGATTTCCAGAAAACACTGCAGACTACAGGAACCATTTGTGCTTCAGTTTGAGATTCAGACAACTACAAACTCATCCCCAACAGCCTGCACCTGTCTTCAACAGTGAAGGGACACAGGGCAGAAAACTTCCTGCAGCCAAGAAGGCTCCACACACATATGCACTACTCAAATGGCCCCAAGGACTCTCTAAAAGAATGCAAATTACCAGATGTCTGCAAGCAATATATATCCTTCCACTCCCCACCATCTAGTCAGAACTGAAGAAGTTTCTTGGATGAGAAGCGAAATGTCTTCAAAGAAAAAACAAGGAAGTCCAATTGCCTTGTGAAGAAAAATAAAGCACCTTTGGCACAACCATACCTGGATGACTGGGAATCTCCATAGACATTTTTCATTTTGTGTGTGTGTGTGTGTGTTTTATAAGGGAAAGCCTTAAATCTTTTATGCCCCACATACACACTTGCAAGGCTGAATGGTACAACTCTTGCCCATCCTTACCCTTCTCATTTTACTGCCTTTGCTAAGTAGGCCTTAGAATCTCACTTACTTCCTTCTGTAATCTTCTACTAGATCCTGCATGTTTCTTAGATCTGAATCCAACTTGGCTCGATTGCCTATTAACGAGTCGAGTTGCCTCCTGAGGTTAAGAATGTAATTCTCAAATAAGGGCTCTAGGCTGAGCTTTGGAACTGAGCTGCCATGTTGTTGCAGAAGATTCCATTTTGTTTCTAGCACTTTATTCTGTTGCTCGAGAAACCGTACCTAAACTCCAGAGAAAGAGAGAGAGAGAGAGAGAGAGAGAGAGAGAGAGAGAGAGAGATATGCTTTTAGAAGCCCTCTTAGATTGGAATCCACACCTCGTTATATATAGCAGCATTCAAATCAAGGCATGACAGCCACAGTGCCACAAGTGCAGCAAGACAACCAGGAGGCCACCCAAATCCTTAATAGGGCTACCAGATCAACCAGGTGACAGCAGCAAAGATTTAGAATTTTGTACCTTTTTTTTTTGCCATCCAGAAGTAATCCAGACATTGCAGCTCAGATCTTATAGCCCTGTCATTAAATCATGTATGTGCACAAAAACATATTACTTTGTTGGATTGTTTTTCTAATTATTTGCTAAAAAAAAATAAGGCTAAATCTGTATGCTTCTACTTGTCTCCTTCAGGAAAGTTAGATACAGCACCTACCATCCCACTAGTAACCTATACACTAGGGAATATGGAACTGGGCAAAATTACTTTAAAATTACTGTGTCACCTTTTGTTAAAAAAAAAAATTGGCACAAATAGTGCTGCAAACTGACCAACAGAAAAAATTCTAGCAAATTGCTATAAACAATAGCTTCCTTTCTATCAATACATGAGCAATTGGCAGTCCCAAAATGATGGTATAGTTAATTATGTTTTCAATCTAGAACCATTTTCATGACAGTCTAAACCAGGGGTGTCAAACAGCCAGCCCATGGGCCAGATGCATCATAGCAAAACCGCGCCCACCCCATTGCCTGCAATGGAAAAAAAGTCACGATACGTCGTGGCACGTCACATGATGTTGCAAGTTTGACACCCCTGGTCTAAACGTTACATGAATGGCTGCATTGTGAGAATTGCCAATTAACTATGAGAAAAAAAGAGAAGTATATATTCTTGTTATATTTAGCACAAACTTAATGTGCAGAACCTTTCTTTTTCCCAGTAATGTGATGTGACATTTCACATCAAAATTCTCTTAAGGCACTTGAAATGTTGCAGTTAAAAATCAGTGGTTAGATTCATCAAGTGTAACTTCTAATGGTCACTAAATAAACTGTTGCAAGTTGAGGACTATCTGCATTTTAAGAGCTGCAAGCCCTAAAATATCTTCAGGCTTGAGTTGGACAGACTTGAACACTGGGCACTATCTAACAAAATGAAATTCAATGGTGAAAAAAGCAAGGTTCTACATTTAGGCAAGAAAAACCAAATGCACAGGTATAGTATAGGGGGTCCCCTTTATGGATTACTGCCTTGTCATGGCGAAGGGGCTTGCATAACTCAATGAAGCTATGAGCTATGCTGTGCAGGGCACCCAAGACGGACAGGTCATAGCAGAGAGTTCTGACAAAATGTGATCCATTGGAGAAGGAAATGGCAAACCACTGCAGTATCTTTGCCATGAAAACCCCATGGACAGTACTAAAAGGCAAAAAGATATGATGCTGGAAGATGAGCCCCTCAGGTCGGAAGGTGTCCAATATGCTACTGGGGAAGAGCAGAGGACTAGTACTAGTAGCGCCAGAAAGAGTGAAGCGACTGGGCCAAAGCCGAAAGGACGCTCAGCTGTGGATGTACCTGGTGGTGAAAGGAAAGTCTGATGCTGTAAAGATCTTTTCTCCATAGGAACCTGGAATGTAAGATCCATGAATCAAGGCAAGGTAGACGTAGTCAAACAAGAGATGACAAGACTGAACATCGACATCTTAGGAATCAGCGAACTAAAATGGACAGGAATGGGTGAATTTAACTCAGAGGACTATCAGGTATACTATTGCGGGCAAGAATCCCTCAGAAGAAATGGAGTAGCCTTCATAGTCAATAAAAGAATAGGAAAAGCAATACTTGAATACAATCCCCAAAATGACACAATGATCTCAGTTCGAATCCAAGGCAAACCATTCAATATCACAGTAGTCCAAATCTATGCCCCAACCACTGGTGCTGAAGACGATGAAATTGACTGGTTCTATGAAGCCGTACAGAACCTTATAGAATTAATACCAAAAAATGATGTCCTTATCATCATGAGGGATTGGAATGCTAAAGTAGGAAGCCAAAAGATAACCGGAATAACAGGCAAGTTTGGCCTTGGAGTACAAAATGAAGCAGGGCACAGGCTGATAGAATTTTGTCAAGAGAATACGATGGTCATAACAAACACTCTTTTCCAACAACCCAGGAGATGGCTCTACACATGGACATCACCAGACGGTCAATACAGAAATCAGATTGACTATGTGCTCTGCAGCCAAAGATGGAGAAGCTCTATACAGTCAGTAAAAACAAGACCAGGAGCTGACTGTGGCTCAGATCATGAGCTTCTCATTGCAAAATTTAGGCTTAAATTGAAGAAAGTAGGGAAAAGCACTAGGCCACTCAGGTATGAACTAAATCATATTCCTGATGAATATACAGT